TCCTCATTGAATGGTCAGATATTTATAGTTATAGAAAAGGTTATGCGAGAGTGAGGGAAGTAATGGAGAACTAACCTCTGGACAGTGAATGGTAGTTGAATGAGGTAGGCATGAAGGAAGAAACGTTACTAAATATTCATGCACACAGGCTGGCTTTATAGACTGAGAAAGACAATTTTATGGAGATGAAATATTTAGAATGAGTGAATACTAAACATTCTGTTTGCATTTATTCTGCACATTGTTTTACATCTTGCAAAGCTAATTTATTTACGTATGATATAAGATGTTAAAGAGGTACCACTGTGATAAAATGAAAAGGATATACTTTTTAGCTGTTAGAGAATTCATAAGAGTTTCAGATAAAAAGATAAAAGATAAAGCTGTAAGGATTTGACTGCAGAATTATTGTGTTTTGTTTTTCTGTGCAGGGAGGAGGTATTAGTTAATGATAAAGGTCTGGCCAGAACCTTGATCTTATCATGGCACTGTGTAGTTGTTCAGTTTCTGTAAGTAGCAAGTTATGAGTGATCATCAGTATGTGTGTGTTTTATTATCTGTGAATGGTTTAATGTCTGCATTTTAATGTCAGTACCATCCATCTGTCCTTCAATGTTTCATGATTTCACTGATTTTCACCATTGCATGGTACAGACATATTTACAGTGACACTTCTTATGAAAAAGTAATAAATAACTTTTAACCCAATGCTGACGGTCATGGCATGTACGTACATGCCATGCCCGTTGTGAGTTTACTTGTTTAATTGTTTTACACATAGATGGCTACACTTGTACTAAGTCACCAATGAGCCAATTATGAGTACTGCCTGTCTTGTCCATTTACCCTTTGCCTTGATTTATGAAAATATTTTACGTTATCTTATTTTGCTGTTACTAATGTTTATATTATAGTAATTATAATTTCTATAATAAAAATAACACCATCGATATTCATAGCATTAGTTTTTCCTGCCAATTCAAGGAAAGGTGAAATTAGGGAAGATCACAAGGTGTACTAATTGACTCCTTTGTGGCTAAACACTAGCAGAGCTATCTATGTCCAGAGGCATTTGACAAAAATATAAAAAATGAGCACAGCATTTTCCCCATTTTTTATCCATTTTCCCCATGGTTAAAGAAGTGTGTTTCACTATGTATTTCATTTTGTTTTTGTAACAACTTTGATATTGCTAAGGGGTTTACTGATTTTTATATATTTATCTACATACAGGGAAATTATTTTTTAATAGAAGAAACCCCAAAGTTTAAAGATTTGCATTATTATTTTCATTCCATGTTCTGTAAAAAAGATTGTAAATATTGTTTATTATTTTGATATTATTATTATAATTATGTTTATGTTTATTATTAATATTATTGTTATTGTTGTTTTGTTAGTATTATTATCTTCATCTTCTTCTTTCTTTCTTTCTTTCTTTTTTTTTTTTGTAATCAGAATTACTTTCAAATTTGTGTTCTCTTGTTCGTTTGGCACTTCTTCCTCATTTTCTGCATGTTAAAAGAATTCTTGTTCCTCATTCTCCTCTGCCTCCTCCTCATCCTAGTCCTATCATATCCCTTTTCTTTGAACGCTTTCCCCTCCTGATAGTTTTAACATTATTCTTGTTATTATTCTTTTGATATTCTTAAAGGCCTAACTTAAATTACTAAAGTACAAATTACTAAAGTACACTATGCTTAAGTCATGAAATAAGATAATTTGTTGAAGTTTTTCTTCTTTCTTTTTTTCTTTATTTATTTTTTTATTTATTTTTTTAATCTTTTTTTTTTTTTTTATAATTGATAATCAGAATTACTTTCTAATTTGTGTTCTCTTGTTCGTTTGGCACTTCTTCCTCATTTTCTGCATGTTAAAAGAATTCTTGTTCCTCATTCTCCTCTGCTTCCTCCTCATCCTAGTCCTATCATATCCCTTTTCTTTGAACACTTTCCCCTTCTGATAGTTTTAGCATTATTCTTGTTATTATTCTCTTGATATTCTTAAAGGCCTAACTTAACCCAAATTACTAAAGTACACTATGCTTAAGTCATGAAATAAGATAATTTGTTGAAGTTTTTCTTCTTTCTTTCTTTCTTTCTTTCTTTCTTTCTTTCTTTCTTTCTTTCTTTCTTTCTTTCTTTCTTTCTTTCTTTCTTTCTTTCTTTCTTTCTTTCTTTCTTTCTTTCTTTCTTTCTTTCTTTCTTTCTTTCTTTCTTTCTTTCTTTCTTTCTTTCTTTCTTTCTTTCTTTCTTTCTTTCTTTCTTTCTTTCTCTTCTTTCTCTTTTTCTCTCTTTCTCTCTTTAAGGGGGGTTGGGGGCTAAGAATTTTTTTCCATAAGTAAACTTACCTAGACCTACATGGGTTTTCTGTTCAAGGTCTAATACATGTGTATAAAGCATTATGATATAAACATAGCCCAGGTTGGAGTGTCCTTATTGTAGAGAATTTGAGCTTTGGGATAAATATCGGTATCCAAAATAAATAGACAAAGGTTTTAAGATAAAGAGATATTGTCAAGTGTTACTTATCTTTATGCAGGAGTACCTTTGTTTGAGATAAAAGAGATAAAATATTAACCAAGTAAATCTCATTATATGTATAGAAGTAAAGGGATCATTAAAACTTTTTTTAGAACTTATGATTTTTAATTGCAGTTTTGAGAGAGTTAAAAAGCTTAACTTAGTGCTGTTAGGAAGACATGTATCTATTTACTATTTCCACTTTGAATTATTCCTTATGTTTACACTTTTTTCTTCTTCTTCTTCTTCTTCTTCTTCTTCTTCTTCTTCTTCCCCTGTATCATTTTAACCCAATGAGCACGGGTGGCAAGACTACAATGCCATGCCCACTGTAATAAAAGTTTTATCTGTCGTCTTTACACATAGGTGGCTGTACAGGTGTTTAGTCCCCAAGGAGTTAGATATTAGTCTTACCTATATTGTATGTTTACCCCTTTCCTTTGTTTTTCGAAAGCTTCACTTCTATTATTTTATTGTCTCTGATGTTATTAATATTTTAATAACAATTTAATAATCAAAATATCAATAAGAATGATAACATTGTTAATATTAACAGTATTTGAAAGAAAAATGCATTTTCCTGCCAATTCAAGGAATGTGGAAATCAGGATCGGTCACTGATAGACTCCTTGCTGCTGAGCACACGTGGAGCCATCATTATGTTACAAAACTCACTAAAATCGAAAGGGTACAGTAAATAACCCCGATGACATTAGGTTAATAATAATGTTTTAATAATTGTGTTAATAATGATGATGATAAGAGCATCAGTATTAATATTAAAGAAAAAATACATTTTGATAGAATGTTTATAGGCCTTTATGTATGTGTGTGTATATAAATTACTTTGATGTACGGTATGAGCCTATATTCTCCAGGCATCTAAATTTAAATTTTCTGTCAAATTTGTACAAGAAAAATATGTGTATGGGCCTGCATACACATATATATGAATCTCTGTTGCATGTGATTTTTTACTATTATTATTACAAGAACTTCAAACTTTATGCACTCGCATGCATTCATTGCACAACTGCTAACAGTTTGGATTGATAGGAGCAAGTCATTAACCCCTCAGATCCAGGTGCTTCACTGCCCACATGTGGCCCAGAATGTGGGCATTAGGTTTACTTGAGTGGCCACTCTCACAGGTGTGTGGCTTGTAGGCCATGTGCACACAACTGCTCATGTGCAGTCTCTAGAGTCCTTGCCTCCATTTTGCAATGTTATCTCTTTTTGTACATAAGTAGTTTTGCTTTTCTGCTGTTTTTCAGTGTCTACATTTGCAATAAGTAATTTTTTTCTGTAATACAAACTGCATTGCCACTCATAGTGAGCAGGAATTGGATTTTGAGCATGGAAATAGTGAAGAGCCCCTTCCTAAATGCTCACTGAGTCTAATCAGCCTCTGAGAGCCTTGTGCACTCATGGAGAGTCATTCTCATCACCCTGGCCTTCAGCTGTGTATGGAGTCTCATGGTGGCATGTTCCCATCACCTCGGCCCTAAGCCAAATTTTTCCATGATGGCTTGTTCATAACATCCAGCCCTCTTGCCAAATTTTTTCATGATGTAATGGTCACATCACCTGGATCATAGGGGTTAATTGGGAAACAAAGAGACAGAACAATAGTACTAGATTTTCTCAGTCAAAGATAATATGTAATTTGGTGCTGAGTATTACGAGTGGAGATCATCTAGACCTCTGTGCAATTATTGTGAGAAAAAAAAACAATTTACTATCGATGTCAACTGTATTAAAAAGAAAAACATTTTCCTGCTAATTCAAGGAATGGGGAAATCAGGATCAGTCACTAGGGCTACTGATAGGCTCCTTGCCGGCTTGAGTACATGTGGAGCCATCTGTATGCAACCACATTCACAAAATACTACAACGGATAGAACGTAAATCCTGGGCGGTTGAGTTAACTGTTTTAAGTAGAAAAATATGGGTGGAAACTATAGGTTTACACTTTTTTTTTTCTTCTATTCCAGAATTCTGGTGAATTTTATTCCTGTGTATCAGATACTTTATATCTATAAAACATGTCATGTAAATATTTTAGCTTATAAGAATAAATTTTGGGCATAATTGCTTGGTTTAATTGATGTAAGAGGAAACTGAGCCATGACTTTGCAACAGTTATCTTTATATTGAATATGAAAATATCATATACATTGTAGTGTGCTGTGCTGGATCCTTAACCCAATAATGGTAGATAGTTTTTTAGGAATTTAGGCAAGGACAAATTTACATTTAATTGTGCCACTCCATGCCTGGATATCTTCAGGTTTTCTGATCTGGTATAGGTATGGGCTTGTGTGTAAACTCAAAAGTTTCTTAACTGTATGCATGTATGTATAACTGATATTGGTCAGTGAAAGCACATTCAAAGCTTTATGCATATGCTAAGTAAAGAAGAAATTATACATGTACAGCATTAGAATGTTTGGTCTGTGTGGTTGTTTTTTATCCCCACCATGTTATTGATGAACTCTTTGCACTTTAATTTATGATTTGATGGTTGTCTCTACCATGATGATAAAGTATGTTTTATATGTAATATATGTTGTTACCAGCATATAGATATTTTTTGTTTATTTTTCCCATGAGAAGAAAGTAAACTTTTCTCTCTCCATTTCTGATCTTAATCCTTGTTTATTGCTTTGCTTCTGCAGCCTAATGGGAGACCACAATGGTGAGGCCAGTCAGCTCCAAGAGAAAACTTTTCAGTGCCAGCAAAGAACAGAAAGAAAATGAGCCAGGTAAATACTTATTGTCATTGTTTCATTTTGATTATTTTTTACATAAAGTTTGTAATTATTTTGTGATTGCTATGATTATTATTATTATTATTACTATTATTCTTATCATTATTGTTATTATTATTATTATTCCTTGCCTCATTCCCCACTTCCAAAACAGCCGATGGCAAATTAAGGGCCAAGCAAGGTGAGGCCCTGGGCTACCCGGAGAGCTTCAGTGTAAACAGCATTGGAGGCCAGCGGAAAGGTGGGGTTGCCGCCAACAACCACCACAATAACAACTCTAGCCTTGGGATAGGAGGGTGCAGCGGCAACGTGGGGGGAGCTGGGAAATTGGTTGAAGGGGGGTGGGGGGCTGAAGATGTAGCACCTTCAACCCACCACACCCCCAACCGCCCGGTCATGCCCATGTCGGAACGGCAGCAGATTGCCCTTCTCATGCAAATGTCATCACCCTCACCTCCAGGTATGCATCTGTGGTGTACACTGGCCTTTGCACAATTAACCCAGTGTTGCTGGAAAATGTGTTCACTGTACTATTGCTTTATAAAGTGTCAGTACATATTGCTAAACCAGTCAATTAGTAGACTTTGTGACTTCATCCTAATTTAATTTTTCATAGAGTTTGCATGATTATTATTATTTTTTTATTATTATTATTTTTTCCAATGCTGTAATCATTATTATTATTATAATTATTATCATTTTAGATATAATCATCTTAATGTTATAGATATAATTAACAGCAGTATAAGATACCAGAAAATATTTCTAAAAAATCAGGGAAAAGGGTCAATCGATGGGATAGATAGTACTTGTAACTGACTTGTTGGTGATTTTGAAGCCATCTAAGTGCAAAGACAATAAACTAAACTTACAGTGGGGATGGTATGTACACGCGATCCTCGGTGGCATCTGGTTAATTATTCTTCCAATTACATATTGATACATGCACACACATTGATAGAGAGATTAGTAAATGAATAAAAAGGCTATCGAAGCAAAACATCAACAATGCTGCAATATAATACCCTTTTATTAATTCTGTATCTCCACCACTTACGTCTCCCCACAGACAAAGTAGAACTGAGCCGTTCCAGCAGTCCTCGCACGCCAGGTACCCCAAGTGTTTGCCGTGGTGTTAACAAGAGGAATGAGCGCGGAGAGACACCCCTCCATGTAGCCGCCATCAAGGGGGATACAGAGAGGATCTCTCAGCTGATTACTCAAGGTGCTGATGTCAACGCTACCGACTATGCCGGTGAGTGGGTGCATGATTCTGCTTCAGTTGAGATCATGATATATTTCTCTCTCTCTCTCTCTCTCTCTCTCTCTCTCTCTCTCTCTCTCTCTCTCTCTCTCTCTCTCTCTCTCTCTCTCTCTCTCTCTCCATCTCTCTCTCTCTCTCTCCATCTCTCTCTCTCTCTTTCTCTCTTTCTCTCCCTCCATCTCTCTCTCTTTCTCTCCCTCCATCTCTCTCTCTTTCTCTCCCTCCATCTCTCTCTCTTTCTCTCCCTCCATCTCTCTCTCTTTCTCTTTCCTTCTCTCTCTCTCTTTCTCTTTCCTTCTCTCTCTCTCTTTCTCTTTCCTTCTCTCTCTCTCTTTCTCTTTCCTTCTCTCTCTTTCTTTCTCTTTCCTTCTCTTTCTCTCTCTTTCTCTCTCTCTCTCTCTCTCTCTCTCTCTCTCTCTCTCTCTCTCTCTCTCTCTCTCTCTCTCTCTCTCTCTCTCTCTCTCTCTCTCTTTCTCTCTCTCTTTCTCTCTTTCTCTCTCCATCTTTCTCTTTCTCTCTCTCCATCTCTCTCTCTCTCTCTCTCTCTCTCTCTCTCTCTCTCTCTCTCTCTCTCTCCCTCTCTCTCTCTCTCTTTCTCTCTTTCTCTCCCTCCATCTCTCTCTCTTTCTCTCCCTCCATCTCTCTCTCTTTCTCTCCCTCCACCTCTCTCTCTCTCTCCCTCCATCTCTCTCTCATTCTCTCTCTCTCTCTCTATCTATCTCTGTACATGTTCACATGCCCTTGTGCATCTGTGTGTGCGCATATGGATGAGGGCTTCGTGCTCAGGGTGACATGATATGATGGTGTGGGGGCTTTGATAAGTTCCTGCTTGGTTTGTTGCCACTGCTAGCGTGCCTAGCATATAAAAGGAGCAGCCAGTACATAGCCTCTCCATCTCTCCCATGGGTACCTTGTGGTCCTAGACTGACCTATGGAGGACCTGCAAACAGCAGGAGGCCCTAAAGGTACAGAGCCATGGCTCGTGTGTGGACATGTCCTGGCTTCATACTAGATCTCCTGGGGTCAATGGGTCCTGTGGTGAGACAGGCCTTGCAAGTTCACCTCCCCAACATAATCCCACCAGCAATGTCATAAATAAATGGTGATGCTGGAGGAAAGCAAGAGAGGGTGGCTGTAGGTCCTGTTGGGAGGATTGCTGGACCCCAGTGGCCATTATCCCAGTGTGAGCCCTATGGGGCAAAGCCCAAGGGAACCTGCCAGGATGATGGACCCTGTAGCCCACCTTCCTTTATATGGGGCAATATTGGAGGTGGATGACAGAAGTGGCTTTCACCCAAAATGACTGCCTGAGATTTAACTTCAGGCAAGCCATCTTGATGAGGGCTTAGAACATCTATTCTATGTTAGGACAATCATGTACCATTGCTAATGCAGCTGAAATTTAGAGTGGCTGTTCTCTGGTTGGGCTGTAATGATGGTCACCATCTGCAGGGGATAGCCATCTCCAGCAGATGTAACCCTTCAGTAGTAGAGGTCACTCCAGATGAATGTGTAATGGCACTGAGACTGAAGCATGCATTTGGCTTCATGTCTCATGTTGCTGTTGTAAATTTGATGTGAAAGAGCTGTATGATCCCAAACTTGTAGATGTGTCAGGCAGCTGTCTTTAGTGAGATATTTGCATTGTTCTGGGTTACTCCAATGTGGTATCTGGTTGGTATCAAGTTGGTTATAAGATGTTTTTTGGTCCCCATGGCTGGGGAGCTGATTCTAGTAGTGAGAATAGCCTACTCCTCTGGGCCTTTCCAGGGTCGCAGAGTTTGAGGGTCTTTGGCTCCTGATACCAGCACTCCTATTCACTTTGCTGGACATAGTACACTGATATGGCCAATGTGGCCATGAAGGACCACATCTCAGTTGGCACTAGCTGGAGGATCCTACAGAAATGTAGGGTTTACCAAAGTGACCATAGATTAATCATAGTTAACCTTCAGGCACTCTTCAAAACCCTGTCTGTCCAGTGTCCAAGGTGTTTTACCTTGGCAGATTGAGGGAAAGGGAGTTTGCCTGGAGTTTTGCAGAAGATATCTATGATCATATCACAGCACACAGCAACCTGATAGACCGTGTAGCACTGTGAGATACAGTGAAGTGCAATACACTTGATGGAGTTGAGGAGTCCACTAGCAGTTGCCCAAGATTAAGGCAAAATTTTACTTTGTAAGAGACACTGGAGGCAACAGATGTGTTGTGTGGCTCATCTGATTGGTGATTGGGACTTGCATTGTTTTCTGGTTCACAGACCTGAGATACTGTTGAGAAGGGCCAAATAAAAGTATATTGGAAACCTTGGGAAGTGGTTGAATGCAAACATGGGCTGCATGCAATGTACTTTGACCTCAAGAAGACATTTGAATTGGTACATTGCAAATCACATGGGGAGATCATTAAACTTGGGAATTCTGACTTAAAATTATTGGATCAACAGAAATCCTGTTTACTGGTACTAAAATTGCTGTAAAGTGTGGTGTGTGTAGCTCCCCTATGAATTCAGGAATGAGGCACAGCTCATAGCTATAGAGTAGATAATGATTAGATCTACTATCTAAAGTCTTTATAGAACAGCAGTGGGCAATATCTGATCTGAAATTTGCTAACAAAGTTGCCATCATAGTCTCCGAGTCTCTTGCTGCACTTAGAAATGAGATGAAGCCCTTGAGTTTAGAGGTTTCTTGAACTAAGACCAGATCCTGGATTTGGGGGACCTGTTATATATATATATGTGTGTTGATTTTTCTACATATCCCCCATCAAGTTCTACACACTTAGAATCTGTATTTCTATCTTTCTTATATGTATATAAGGTCTCTAGAATTGAACCAATGTTTCACAACTGCTTTCACCTCATTTATAAAAATAAAGGCTCCCTTGGAGTTTTTCCTCAACTCTGGAATAAAAAAGAAATTAGAGAGGGCTAAAGCAGAGCTGTATATTACATGATTGAACAGTCTCTAACAAAATTTCTGCAATGTAGACCTCTCAAGACATGATGAATGGGCAGGCTCATTGTCATGGTGAAAGAGGATTTTCTGGCAGCATCTTGCTCTGTTGAGATGTGTGTGTGTGTGTGTGTGTGTGTGTGTGTGTGTGTGTGTGTGTGTGTGTGTGTGTGTGTGTGTGTGTGTGTGTGTGTGTGTGTGTGTGTGTGTTTGTGCGTTGTGTGTGTTTTTGTTGTACTGCATGATTTGTGCAGAACTTATGTATAATAGGTTTTCTGATTGTTAAGAAAGTCTGGTAGCACCATGCCTTCTAATCACAAAATACAGTTGCTATAACCTTTCTACCTGCATATCCTGCTTTGCATTCAATGGATCCTCTTTCCCCTGTTGGTAGCCCCTGTTTTGATTTTGATTTTTCCTCAGGCTGGTAATTCCATGGTTGATCACCAAGTATTATTTGCTGCAGAAAATATTTAAGATTGTCGTTCTACATGTTGAAAACCTGCTGCGAAATGTCAGGTCTCATTGCCATGTCTTCTTCACCCAGTAGTCATCTGGCAAAAAGTTTGTTTAGATTCAGCCTTTCTTTTAGTATCTTGGATGTTATTCCTATAGACATGCCTAGGGCATAAGATATCATTTCTAGTGCAGTGTATCAATTTTCTTTAACTATGGACACAGTCGGTATTTCATCCTTGGTCAAGGTTATTGGCCTACCTCTCCAGGGGTCATCATTAACTCCCTCTCGTCCATTCATTCATAGGTAGTTGTGACCTAGGTTAAACTAGCTAATCTTCACAAATAAAGCAGTTATAACAATTTTGTTGTAACTTGTAGTATGATACATACTTCTGTGTGTGTGTGTGTGTGTGTGTGTGTGTGTGTGTGTGTGTGTGTGTGTGTGTGTGTGTGTGTGTTAACCCAAAGCTGACAGGCATACCCACTGTGAGTTTACTTTATTAATTGTTTTTACACATAGATGAGTACACTTGTACTAAGTCACCAATGAGCCAATCACGAATACTGCCAGCCTCGCCTGTTTCCCCTTTCCTTGAATTTTGAAAATATTTTACATTATCTTAAATTGCTGTTACTAATGTCAATAACATTAAAGAAATTATAATGTCTATGATAAAAATAACAGCATTGATATTTATCCCATTAGTAAAAAAAAAAGTTTTTCCATCAATTCAAGGAAAGGTGAAATCAGGTAAGGTCACAAGGTGTACTAATTGACTCCTTTGTGGTGCTAAGCACTAGCAGAGCCATCTATGTGCAGAGACATTTCACAAAAAAGAGCACAGAATTTTCTCGGCGACATTGAGTTAACAACATGCCAGTGGGGAAAATGCTGTGCTCATTTTTATATTTTTATGAAATGTCTCGGCACATTGATGGCTCTGCTAGTGCTTCGTCACAAAGGAGTCAATTAGTACACCTTGTGACCTTACTTAATTTCACCTTTCCTAGAATTGGTGGGAGAAACATATATTTTACTGATGCTATGAATATTGATGGTGTTATTTTTAATATAGACATTATAGTTACTATAATGCTACAAACATTAAGATAAGATAATAAATATTTTCGTAAATCAAGGAAAAGGGCGAACAGGTGAGACAGGCAGTTCTCATAACTGGCTCATTGGTGACTTAGTACAAGTGTACTCATCTATGTGTAAAAGCAATTAATAAAGTATTGGGTTGAATATATATATATATACATATATATATGTTTGTATGTTTGTATGTATGTATGTATGTGTCTGTGTGTGAGTGTGTGTGTATGTGTATGTATATATATGTATATATATGTATAACTATATATGTATATATGTATGTATGTATATATATATATATGTGTGTGTGTGTGTATGTATGTATGTATGTATGTATCTATGTATATGTATATACTGTATATGATACGTACACACACACACACACACACACACACACACACACACACACACACACACACACACACACACATATATATATATATATATATATATATATATATATATATATATAT